CCGATCCGAGCCCCTACGGATGGCCCCACAGAGGGGAGCCCGAGGAAGGCAGAAAGATTGATGAGTGACGAATCTATACCATGTTCTGTGCCTACTATTGCGTGTTCTAACCAGTTTCAACCGTGTCAGTACGGGTATTCAATTAGTCACATCTACCACGAGACCACAGGTAAGACCGATGAGCGAAAGCCTAGACACGATCTAGGGTTAGTAGCGCCCCTTCAGTGCCCCCGGTCGGCACGGTCTTGTGGCTCTGAACCCTCACACTGCCAAGGCGGTCCTTATCAGGATCTACCTTATAGATCCAATCCGGTCCATGACGTCTACAACGCTGGCGATCATACTGAGACTGGTGGTAGTGATAATGGTGGTGGCTACTTAACTGGTGGTGGTGATAATGGTGGTGTTTATCTAACTGGTAATGGCGGTGGTTATCTAACTGGGAATGGTGATGGTGGTGGTTACCTAACCTCTGAGGTTTGTGGCCATCAAACTGGTGATGGTACTGGTGGTCATCAATATCATAAGACCAATGGGCTTACTCAAGTCACCTTCGGTCATATCTCTAACCCTAGTGTTATGAGTGCTAATTATCTAAGTAGACATGATCTACACGGCAACGGTTGTTACGATTGCCAGGGCCCTCAAGGGGATTCCGGGAGAGCTGTTCAACGCTCTTCACCAAACTTTGGAGTCAATGACCCCAACTATGATGTTCTACATAGGCATCATCTATATGAGTCGGCAGCGAATGCACCTACTGTCCAAGCCAGGGTGTGATGTGAGTGGAAATTCAGTACGATATTCTGTGTTTGGAAATTTCAAGGTGGAAATTTCCGGAATTTCCAGGAAATTTCCGCCAAGATGCTTCCGGGCTTCTGCGCTAGCGCGCAGTCGGGATCGAGGAAGTACAGAAGAGCAAGATCACGAGTTGGAGAGTCGTTTCGTGGGTCCATGCGTTACATTGTCAATTGCGTGTCGCGTTCAGTTCGAGAGCCAACGATGACTCGAAAGGGATGTAGTTGCGTCAATCACGGTCACGACTGACGATCCGTCAAAGCAGCTTTGCGAGAGACAGGTTTTCGCTCTCGAAAGACCTCGTTTTTGGGTGGTCGAATTCTGTTCAGTATCTCGAAGAAGTCTGGTTTATCCATGTCTTTGAAGGCTTTCCTGTTATATTGCCTATCTCTTAATGGCTCCCTCATCGCGTAGGAGAAGCTCTATCTTCGACCCCCGACCACATTACCTGGTGAAAACTCGGGCTGAGCTTGGCCTCCCACCGCTGTAGTACAGGTGCTGTAGTACAGAAGCAAGTATTACTTGCCAAGTAACTAGGTTACTGCAACCCCAAGTTGAACTTCAAGACTTGAACTTAGTTCAAGTTCAAGTTCACCTTGCTCCAAGTTGTTTCAAGTGGCACCTCATGACGCCGGTGGCGGTCCAGTGGATGATGAACTCGACATGGAAATACTTGGGATCAAAAGTATATCTCCTTATTACTTATCATGGTATGAATTACTTTGCAGTTGCATTTTCGAGCGTTACAGGCGAGCGAGAAAATAGATGCGCTCGACGGAGCGAGGTGAATTGCCATGAATCGCCATGCGAAGACTTGTAAGCGCTCGCCTTGATGATCGATTCCAGCCGTTGGGGCTTTTACGCACAACAACCGAGTCTGAGCATCACTACGATACTCTATCTATGCGGAGAGCTATTCTTAATACAGATTGAGCTTTTTTATAAACGAAACGTGCGTAGAGATCAGTAAATAGCCATTTTTGTTAGATTTCCTGGAAATTCAAGGGTCGTGGAAATTTTTCCGAAATTTCCTTCGGAAATTTCAGGAATGGAAATTGACACTTGCAAAAATCACACCCTGGTCCAAGCTCATTCTGATATCATTGTATCTAATTTACATCGCAATCAACCTCAACAGTGGAGACTATCCAATGAGGCTGGTGATGTTTGCAATGGTGCATCTGGTGATCCAACGACTGTGCAAGGATCAACCTTTATGGAATCACGGCAGATTCCTCATCGACGGCAACATCGATCTATCAAGCGCGATGGTCCCCTCGATTCGAGCCCTGAGAGCTCACACGGAAAAGGCAGCTCTGCCACATCTAGTTCGAGAAGTACTATAGCTGGCCGTGGTGAGCGACTCAGGCGATCAAAGAACATCAAGCCTCGTACGTCATCTAGAAGGTATCGGTCGTCATCATCGTCATCTAGTAGTGTTGTGACCCTAGGGAAGGTGAACTCGACATAGCAATAAAGGAGTTGATAAGAGATTTTATAATGATCCATCTATGATTGCAAACACGGAAATATCTAGCTTAGCTTATCACAATCTGAATGGATTACATATCATAGGGCGATCGCACAAAAAGGGACATAACAACCTGCCCCCCTGCGATCAAACCACAAAAAAAAATTTAACGGTAATACAAACGAACATTACGGATATGTTCTCGAACTTCAGTCTGAGGATCAGATTGACAGTCTTCTGGACGAAGATACAAAACGTAATCGAGAACCCTCATAACTACATAAACTTTATCACTGTAAGACCCAGCAGCACCTGCTCTGCCAGGCTTCATAGAAGGGCGAAAGATTAGAACCCTATCACCAGGCTTGAGCTTCGGCAATCGGCGCCTGACGGTCACATCACGATCGAAGAGGCTATGTCGAACCTGCTCCCGAACAGCTTCTCTGGCCTTATCAAGCTGTTCGGCACCCTCTTGGTTTACAGTCTCTTCGTCGGACTCCAATCTTTTAGAGGATAACAACGACATCTCCTCTTCTTCCAGAGCTCGGCGTCCGAACATAATATCAAATGGAGTAAGACTAGGGAGACCTAACACCGTTAAAGGTCTCGAATTTAGCCTTCGTATAGCCAAGCCGATAAAGCGTTCCCATGACTTAGAACCTTCGCAAGATCGAGCAACCAATCGACTAACCTTCTTAATACCGCCAACAGATTTCTCCGCTAGACCATTAGCCCAAGGAGAAAACCTAGAGCTATAGACAACCACAGTACCAACCTTACGCATCTCCTTCTTGAAGAAAGCGGCTCGGAAAGCCGGACCCTGATCACATCTTAGCTTAGCAATTAGGCCATACTCCATCATAATACCCAGAATGGTGAAGGTAACCGAGCGGCTCGTCTGGTCAGGCATCCCACGAGCAAGAGCAAAACGGGAATATGAATCCACACAGACGAGAACATAGCTGTTTCCACTTGATTGGGAGACTTCAAACGGTCCACAAACGTCAACGCTCACCACAGCAAATACACGAAGAGCAACAGGGTCTAAACGTGCATAATCATCACCTTTGACAAAACGCCTAGTAGCAGACCGTTGACAAAGCGGACATGTCTTACAACACCAGGAAACCAACTTATTCAAGCCCTTAATCGAAAATACCTTCGTGATACGCTGCTTGGTATACCTTGGGCACAAATGACTATACCTTTCGTGAAAGGCACGAGTGATACGCTTTGCCTCTTGAAGACCTCGATCAGTGTCCACTGGGATAACATAAACTTCGATAGGCTCTCGCAATGTATCACCGTAAGGATAATGTAGTCGACAAAGGATCCCGTCAGACAACAAACGAAGATTCCGAGTAGCTTCACTCAAGAGTACTCTATCCTTATTAGAGTACTTCTCGACATCATTCGCCGCCTCTGCTTCTAACCATTCACAATAGGTCTTCAACACCAGAGATTCTCGTTGCAAGCTACGAAGTCGCTGTCGAGGATCTTCTTGCCCACTCAAAACACTCAAGTAATCTTCTTGGTGTATCAAAGGAAACTTCAAAGAGGACCCCAAATCACCATCACTGGTTTCGTCCGTGTCCAATACAGCTTGTAAAAGGAGACTCTCTGGCTCCACATCATCAAGACCCAAAGAAGCAGTAAGACCCCACTTCTCAACCAGTCTACTGAGGCGATCAGCAGGGTTCAGAGCACCCTCAACTTTACCATAGGTAACAGTTATACCACTGGCTCGAATATCCGAAACCAACTCATTTATACAACATACTAACCTTTGTACAGCAACCTTCTCAATAGACTTAGCACCAACACGATTTTCCATCCACCGTAGAGCTGTCTGAGAATCCGCATATACGAAGATTGATGAAATCGGGGGCCCAATCGTCCTATGGCTACACAACATCCCATGCAAATACAGCATGAGCTTCCCAATAGCAGCAAGCTCCTTCCTGTTGATATGCCAGCTCCGTTGTGCTTTAGTACTCAGCCATATGCCAGCCTGCTCTGCCAAATCCCACACCTCTGTATTTGGCTTAGAGAGTTCCGGAATAATATCAGATATAGGGACCGTACCATTCACAACCTTGATACACCACCCGTAACCAACTGGGGAAGCATCTACAAAGCACACCAAACTAGAACCACCATAACACCAGTGTTCACATCGTTGGGCAGAATACTCCTCAAGAGTCGTAAAACACGAGGAAATGATGTTGAAGTCAGCAGAGCCATTCTCAATCGAGAGCAACTCATCTGCCTCCTTCATCCCCTTCCCAGCGATGGACCGGAGTAAATCTCCTGCTAGTCGTGCTTCACAATGCAATCGACAGGGATCCACACCAGTACCACCACAACCGGCAATACCAAGAAGTAGACGAGCAGTCCATTTCATATTGAAAGAACCATC